TACTAGGAAGAGATAAAGACAGATAAACATAACAAATAATAAAAGATCAAACAAGTAGATAAGACAATAAATAGAAAACAAGATAACAACACACAGTTAAAACAGCAGAATTGATGTAAATAACTTGCAAAGAGCTTGCCCTTCAGCAGAAGAAACGTTGCAGCCGGGTGAATCAAAAAATGCAACTTTCGAGCTGGAATTGTGGAAGTGTCAAGCACTGTTCTCTCGCTACAGCGTTACAAGAGCCCCCGTTACATACCTCCGTACCAAGGTTCGCGCCGCGTCGGGCTTTGCATGCCCCTTAAAAACCATAGCCATGTATAATCATAACCCGAACAATGGCATCATCCTGGCGCAATACAATGTGGACCTGGTACAATAAAATGCGCGTCTGAGAACCCACAAGCATAATAAAAATAACGGGGAAGGCCTGGCTTTGCAAAGAAGAGGTTTGGAGGGGCCGCGTTTTCCATTTAGTTTGGGCTGATGGTTCTAGCTTCATTTAACCCGCTTTTCCATCTAGTTTGGGTTGGTGGTTTGGAGGGCCGGTTTTGCATTCGTTTGGGTTGCTGGTTTGGAGGGGGCAATTATTTCATTTAGTTTGGGTTGGTAGTTTGGAGGGGCCCGCTGTTTTCATTTGGTTTGGGTTGCTGGTTTGGAGGGGCCGCTTGTTTCATTTAGTTTTGGGTTGTTTGTGTGGAGGGGCCGCTTGTTCTATTTACTTTTGCTTGGTGGTTCTAGTTTCACTTAATTGTCGTTGGTGGTTTGGTCGGAGGGGTCCGCTTTTCCATTTGCTGGTTTGGAGAGGCCGTTTTTGACATTGTGTTTGGGTTGGTAGTTAGGAGGCCATCTAGTTTGGGTTGCTGGTTTGGAGTTTGGAGGGGCCGTTTGTTTCATTTAGTTTGGGTTGGTAGTTTGGAGGGGCCGCTTTTTTAATTTAGTTTGGGTTGCTGGTTTGGAGGGGCCGCTTGTTTCATTTAGTTTCGTTTGGTTGCGTGGAGGGGCCGTTTTTTCTATTTGGTTTGGGTTGGTAGTTTGGAGGGGGCCGTTTTTCCATTGGTTTGGGTTGCTGGCTTGGTTGGGTTGGTTGTGTGGAGGGGCATTTTTTTCCAATTAGTTTGGGTTGATAGTTCTAGTTTTATTTAATTTGTGTTGGTGGTTTGGAGGGGCCGGTTTTCTATTAGGCTTGGTTGCTGGTTTGGAGGGGCCGCTTGTTTCATTGAGTTTGGGTTGGTTGTTTGGAGGGGCCGCTTGTTTCATTTAGTTTTTGTTGGTTGTTTGGAGGGGCCGCTTGTTTCATTTAGTTTGGGTTGGTAGAAGCTACGCAAGCTGGGTCGCTCAATTCATGCTTCTTTACTTGCGAATTTTGGAAGAAACCAACTAGGTCAACATCCAGGGCCCCTCGAATCTGAGTTCCTGGGCTGGGGAGATTGAAAGACCGACAAAAAGGTCAAAAACCCGGGTTGTGAAATCCTAGTTCCTGATTTGGGGAGACCAACAAAGTTCAAAACGCTGAAAACCCCGGGTCCCCTAAAGTGATGTGATGTGTCTTTACTTGGGGAGTTCAAAATCCCGGGTCCCGAAAGTGATGTTCCGCCGGGTGTTTCTTTACTTGGGGAGTTCAAAATCCCGGGTCCCGAAAGTGATGTTCCGCCAGGTGTTTCTTTACTTGGGGAGTTCAAAATCCCGGGTCCCGAAAGTGATGTTCTTTACTTGGGGAGTTCAAAAAGTTCAAACCCCAAAGTGATGTTTCTTTACTTGGGGAATTCAAAAAGTTCAAAATCCTGGTTCCCCAACGTGATGTTTCTGCACTTGGGGAATTCAAACAAATCAATATCCTGGGTCCCCAACGTGATGTTTCTGTATACTTGGAGAGTTCAAACAATTCAAAAATTCAAAATCCCGGGTCCCAAAAGTGATGTTTCTTTACACGGGGAGTTCAAACAGTTCAAATGCCGTTTTTTTTGCGCAGTTGGAGGGCCTGTCGCTGGCCTGCTTGGTTGGGGTTTCCTAGGGAGGGTCCGGGGCCAACCCTCCTGAAAGGACCCGCCTGTTTGTCGGATACGGGGCCTTGTGGGCCCGTAGTGCAAGCCGGACGGGATCAATGGATCGCTGATCGACCAAAATGGCCTCGAATCACACCTCCCCTATCCGACGGCTATCCGACGGTTATCCGACGGCTATCCGACGGCTATCCGACGGTTATCCGACGGTTATCCGACGCTATCCGACGGTATCCGACGCCGGGCCCTCGTAGACCCTCAGTTTTGGGGGCCCCGGCCCAATTATCCGACGGTTATCCGACGGCTATCCGACGGCCATCCGACGGCCATCCGACGGCTATCCGACGGACCATCCGACGGTTATCCGACGGTTATCCGATGGTAATCCGAAGCTTGTTTGCAGCCCAAGGCCCCCAACAAAAAACCAGCCCGAAACCTCCTACGACCGCGAGGGCCCGCGAGGGCCCAAGGGCCCGAAACATGAGTTGGGAGCGTCTGGGAAACTCTATTTTGTTTGTTGTGTGTGGCTGCCATGCTTTTTGTGCAGTTGGATTTTTTCTAGGCCTGTCACTGGCCTGCTTGGTCGGGCTGCTGATTCTCTTGAAGTGGGATGTTTGTAGTAGGGCTGTGTGGATGTCGCTTTCTTGGCGCAGTTGCTTTTCTTCAGGGCCTGTCGCTGGCCTGCTTGGTCCGGCTGTGGCCTGCATGGCCCGCCTGATGACCCGCATGTCCTGCCCACCGCCCACCGCCCACCGCCCACCACCCTGCGTGAGGCAACAGCTCTTCGCAAGCAAGATTGCCAACAACATCTGCAGAAAACAGGCAGGCAAAGACAACAACCAAATTAGAAACCAGAAAAAAAGCACTTTGCGAAAAGCAGCAGCCCAACCAAGCAGGCCAGCAACAGACCCTGAACAAAAAAGCGGCAGCCGCGGACAACAAGCAATTAGCAACTCTTACTTAAAAAATCAAAAAAACTTTACGAAAAACAGCAGACCAGGCGCTTCAGTGACAGGCCCTGAACAAAATCCAACTGCGCAACAACAAAAAATGGCAGCCACACACAACAAACAAAGCAGCAGCTGTACTAAAAAAGACAAGACCGCGAAAAGCAGCAGCCCGACCAAGCAGGCCAGCGACAGGCCCTGAAACAAAAACAACTGCACCAAAAAAGCGGCATCCACACACAAAAAGCAAATTAGAAGTCCTACTACAAAAATCCAACTTCACGAAAATTAGCAGCCTGACTAAGCAGGCCAGTGACAGCATGCACAAAAAGCATGGCAGCCACGCACAACAAGCAAATTGGAAGCTCTACTAAATAAATCCAACTTCACGAAAAGCAGCAGCCCAAGCAAGCAGGCCAGTGACAGGCCCTGAGCAAAAATCCAACTGCACAAAAAACATGGCAGCCACACACAACAAGCAAATTAGAAGCTTTACTAAACAAATCCAACTTCACGAAAAGCGACGAAAAGCAGCAGCCCGACCAAGCAAGCCAGTGACAGGCCCCTATAAAAACAACAACTACACAAAAAAGAACGCGGCAGGCACACGCAACAAGCAAACTAGAAGCTCTCGGGAAAAATCCCACTTCACAAAAAGCAGCAGGCCGACCAGGCAGGCAAGTGACAGGCCCTGAACAAAATCCAACTGCACCAAAAAAGTGGCATTCAAACACAACAAGCAAATTCGAAGCCCTACAACAAATACCACTTCGCTAAAATCACCAGCCCGACCGAGCAGGCCAGTGACAGGCCCTGAAACAAATCCAACTTCACCAAAAAACGGCAGCCACAGACAGCAAGCAAAAAACAATAATCTCTATACTGAAAAACATCACAAAAAGCAGCAGGCCGACCAAGCAGGCCAGTGACAGGCCCTGAAGAAAAACCCAACTGAGAAACAAAGCGGCAGCCACAAAGAAACCCAATGGAAACAAAACACTTCACGAAAAGCAGCAGGCAGACCAAGCAAGCCAGTGACAGGCCTTGAAAAGAACCAACTGCACAACAACCAAAAAAAACGGCAGCCACACAGAACAAGCAAACTAGAAGCCCTTCGGAAGAATATTGCTTCACGAAAAGCAGCAGCCGGACCAAGCAGGCCAGCGACAGGCCCTGAAGAAAAGCAACTGCGCCAAGAAAGCGACATCCACACAGCCCTACTACAAACATCCCACTTCAAGAGAATCAGCAGCCCGACCAAGCAGGCCAGTGACAGGCCTAGAAAAAATCCAACTGCACAAAAAACATGGCAGCCACACACAACAAACAAAATAGAAACTCTACTGCCAGACGCTCCCAACTCATGTTTCGGGCCCTTGGGCCCTCGCGGGCCCTCGCGGTTGTAGGAGGTTTCGGGCTGGTTTTTTGTTGGACCTTTGGGCTGCAAACAAGCTTCGGATTACCAACGGATAACCGTCGGATAACCGTCGGATGGCCGTCGGATAGCCGTCGGATAACTGTCGGATGGCCGTCGGATAGCCGTCGGATGACCGTCGGATAATTGGGCCTGGGCCCCCAAAACTGAGTGTCTACGAGGGCCCGGCGTCGGATAACCGTCGGATAACCGTCGGATAGTAATGCTAGGAGAGGTGTGATTCGAGGCCATTTTGGTTCCATCCATCCCGTCCGGATTGCACTGGGGGCCCACGAGGGCCCGGTATCCGACAAACAGGCCGGTCCCTTTCTAGGAGGGCCCCGGACCCTCCCTAGGAGGGCCCACGAGCCTCTGGGTAGTAGTAATAGAAGTACTAGCAGTAGAAGAAGCCCGCCACTCAGGCCCACACGGTGGACAACGACGGGTGTCGCATGCGTTTTCCGGACCCGAATAAATGCATCTGTGCGTTTTGGCTGAAACCGAACCGATTCGATTCGATACCGATAGCGATTCGAAACCGGTCGCGAAAGGGGGCCGGCCATCCATGTAAAGGAGATCAAAGGAAGATACAAGTTGAATGCTTCACTTTGGACTTACTTCTCAGAGAATGCCGAGGCAGTATGTTCGACCTCAAGCGGGGCGGCACTTCCTTTGGCCACGTGAAGAGCTTAGGCGCCAAGAGCGAGGCGGGGCCTCGGAGAGCGCTTGCTGAGGCTTTTGTCAAATGGTTCATTTGGGTTCTTCAAAATCAACAACATGATGCGAGAGAGCAGTGGGTTTCCCCTTGTGTTCGTCACGTTCCTTCAATTACGGATTGCGGAATTGGATTTGGGTGGGGTCTCTCGTTTGAACAACGGCAAAATAGAGTCCAGCTTGGGTTCGGGACATGGAACCGGGGACTCGCTTGCAAAACCCGAAAGCATGGTTTCCGATCTTTCCGGTCGCAGATCTTGACCGTTCACGTGACCCAAGACTTGTGGTGTTTCAGGGTCTCCATACCTCCCCCTTTGGTGTGTTGAAGCATCACCTTTGGGGCCAATTGAAATGTTCTTTTGGGGTGATGCTTGCAGAGAGGGAATCATGTGGAACAAAGAGACGGAATCATGCGGAAAAAAAGAACACCGTTGCGGTTACCTCTTATTCCATGTGGGGCCCCAGGTATGTCCTGAGGCGTGTTTTCTCGACCTCCTATTCTTCAACGGACCTTTAGTGGGACTCCTTTTTTGTAGCGGCTCGCTCGGGGGGTGAGCCCTCGACGCTGCGACTTTGACGAGCTCTGAACAGGTCGTTTGTTGTGTGTGGCCTCCTGAGCTGGCGCATGTTTTGCTCTTTGCTTGTCTGCACCCACTTGAGTGATGTTTAATATCCACTGTTTCTGGCTAATTTGGGGTAGTGGATGTGGCGTTATTTGTGAACTGTGCCGCCTGAAAAAAATGCCCGAGGTTCAATTAGCGGAGCGCGCTAATTTGGCCACTCCCGCACATGATTGCTGGGATCGTTCTGCGCATTCAGGAACTCCCCTCCGCAACCATGGCTGCATCCTGCGAACGTCTGGCCCCTTGACTTGCGCCCAACAACTTTGTCCATGGACTTTGTATCAACCAACCAACCATGAGAGGGTTTGGGCAGAAGAGAAACGCAGGGGGGGGTTGACAACAACACACAGAGCTGCTTCAGGTCATGTTTATCGGCGGCCAGATGTGAGAGTTGCGCGTGTTGCCTTTCTCGGCCATTCCTGGTCAGAACACCCCCTGTGTCCATTCCTGCTTTGCTGTGACCAACACCAGAGATCTGAAAGGGAAGCAGCATTCCAAAACACTGTCAGGCAGATCTCGATGATGTGGAGGACTGAGAGGGTGGGTTTGGGTGGAGCAACCCAAGCCCAGGGACGGGCTAAGCCAGGTCTCCTTGTTTGCAGCGGCCATCTGCGAATGCAGGCATGTCTCAACATGGACCTCTTGGTTATTGGAAGGAAACCAAAAGAAAGCCACTATTGCTGACTTCAGACGAATCCGGAGGACCCTACTAGGCGAAGAAACCCCAATACATGTTGCCCTTAGCAAACTGGACCACCCCTGATTGCTAAAGTCCCAAGCATGATTCTGAAGTCAACATTGCCAGGGTCCCTGATTTCAAGCTCGCAAACGCGCAAGTCTTACTGATCAACGATAGTGGCCGCCATGATAACTCATCCACCAGAAGATTCCGTTGGTTTGCACGTGAGCATTAGTAAGTAGGGAGGCTTACTCACCAAGATTCCTCAGCATATTTTTGGCCATGCGTCATGTGGCAAGCACTGATGCACCAAACGCTTGAAAGCCACCATGCAGCTTTTTTGGACTTTAAACGGTAGAAGACAGTATGTTGAAGGGCATCTTCATCAGCAATGACGCAACACATTCGACAAAATCAATAAACACAAGTGTCACAAGAAGCAGGATGCTAGCAGCGACAACGAAAGACGCTCGAAGCCGACGCCTGGGGCACCTATCATTCTAACCATTCCTGCGCCAAGTGAGCAAATGACGGATGCACATGTCAAGTAGAGTCTCTTGCAGCCCCTTGGGAGCAAATTACCTGGAATGATCTTATTTCGAACTGTTCAGGCCAACCGGACTAGACCCGTGGATGTCAGGACAGCCCAGCTTGGAATTTGTTTCCTCACGGCGGGATGGGTGTTTTCGTTTGCCAGGAGGATGGTGTCTATACCTTGGGCCGTATCACGCGGATTTTCGGAGATGACCAGGTGACGATTAAACACGAGCCGCTGGGCAGACCCACTGGATACGAAAATGAAAGGCCAACCTGGTACCTCCGCAATACATGGTGAAACGTAGCATCTGCTTCTGATTGTCCAGCAATTATTCAACAAGCTGCACATGCCTCACAAGACAGGCTGTCAGCACAAGGTAAATTAGTTACATACTCCAGAGCATGTACTGTAAAGAGGATGCTTCCACGCGGACAGCTTTTGTCAAGTAGGATTTGTGCTGAGATTGTTGCTTCATTCCCAGCAAAGAAGACTTGTGCAACATGAAGACTATGGCTTGTGAATGCATTTGTAGTTAATGACAGGCTGGCACCGACCACGCTTTCTCTATCCAACGACAGCAATGCAGGGTAGGATGGTAGGTGGTGAAACTTGTGCTCACAGTGGCTCCTTTCTTGCAACCGCGCCTGGCATTGGGAAGCTGTTGATTTCTGGGCTGAAACACAAAAAGAGTTTCCCGAAGTTCACTCATCAAGCTCTGTTTTTGTTTGTTCAACACACAAGATAGTCATATCCGCAAAGACTAAATTAAACAAAGCGTGTATCCGTGTTGATGATGAGCATGTGCTGGGATTTTGCAGTTGATGTCTCCGAAACTGGCCTCTCAAGGCTTCATCCCACCAGGATGTATTGGTTGTCCAAAAGGAAAGCGCAACGACATCCCCCCTTCGCTTCGCATTCGGTGATACCTACCCATAGCAAACGCGAATCGTTGCCACACTTGTGCAAGATGATCATCTACGGTCAGTTGCGTAGCTTGATCAGGCGCGAAAAAAGAAGCGGGAGGCTATGACATGTTATATGTGTAGATTCAAGCTTTGTCCAGAGTGTTCCTTTCTGGACTTTGACCGCTCGAGACGCCTTGGGATTACCCGCTTGCAGAGCAGTCAACTACGCATTGTGTCAAGACGCACAACAACAGGACGCAACAACAATGCAACATCAACAAAGTTCCTGACACACACACACACACACACACCCACACACACCTCAACATGAAACATCGCAAGAGGCATCGACGAATTGACACGTTTGGCATATTTCGACTGTGCGATGGCTTTTGCCAGGCTCTACTCAAGACTCAAGAGAATTGCAATTTTCCAAGCGGCTTGAACCTTCGGGGAATGTATGCACTCGATGGGACATTGATTCTGTAGTTTTGTTCTGATTAACAACATCAGAAAGCCATGTTATTGACACCCGTGGGCAGGTTGTTGTTGTCATTTGCTCGCAGTGAACCACATTACAATTGGTTTTGCATGCCACCTCTGTTTGGACTGGGCTCACCATGACTTGATCCACCTGAGTTCGGCCCACGTGTGGCCATGTAGCCATACTAGCTGCTATTGGCTCCTCTTGGGCATTGGTTTACTTTTCTCAAAGGTTTCGGTTGGCTTCATTTGGTGTCCTTTGATCTCTTTTTAGTTTGACTGCTTCGTTTTACTTTCGCCGCGTTTCCTTGCCATTTGGCTTAGCTGGCGTGAGTCATGAAACCCAGTCCGCTTTGCAGAAAGGCTCTGACTGTCCAAGGAGTGGCTTCCGGGAGGGCTTCGTGGAAATGGAGCGATGCACCTTCTGCCCCACACCCATTGTGCTGGCGGAGAGGTGCGCTGGGTTTTTGTGAGGCTTCGGTAATTGGCCTATTTGTGGGTTTGGTTCCCAGATTTGGTTTTGGTGGCGGTTTCTTGTTTTTAGTTTGTGCCAGCCGGCTGAGCCTATGTTTAGCAACTTTTTCGTTGTCCTAGTTCCCCTTCTATTGATGCGGGCTCTCAAAAACCCTGCGTTTGTTTTACGCTTTTTCCTTCCACGCCAGCGTTCATGTTATGCTTTGGCGCGCAAAACTCCCTTTTGTTTTGGCCATTCATGAGCACGAAACGCAGGTTTCGGTCCGTTTTTCCAAGTAATTCGTGCAGGAACTTATAAATGTACTGCTATTTGTGGCATAGCATATCAGTTTGTTACGGGTCAACGCGCCCGTCCACGCGCTGCATGATGACTTGTGCACATGCTGGCACATATGTTAACGGGCCCGTCCACGCGCTGCACGGTCACATGCGCACATGCTGGCACGTATGTTAATGTTCTACATACATGCGCTCACGACGGACTCTCTGGCCGTCCACGCGCTGCATGGCGGCCTGGGGCATGCATTCTGGCACATAATTATGTCCATGTGCCTGTCTACACGCTGCATGGTTACTTGCGCACATGCTGGCATGTATGTTAACGTGCCCCTCCACGCGCTGCACGGTCACATGCGCACATGCTGGCACACATGCTTACGTTCTACGCCATGTCACAAAGACCCGCTGCGGCAGGCTTGGCGGGACGGTAGGTTGGAGCCCCCAAAATAAGACAAATCAGAGTACAATGTAAACGCAGGGCATGTTCAACATGTCCACTGCATGTTCGCAAGGGCGGCGAGACAGCCGGCTACCTAGTTCGTTTATGTTTGCTGTTTGGTTTGGTTGTTTCCCCATTGCAGTGGTTTGTTCCAGATTGACTCGCGTGTTATTGTAAGCTACTACAACTTGACAGGAGAAAGGCGTATGTGCATCGCCATTCATGCTTCTTGCGCATCCAACAGCCTTTTGAGATTGCTCGAAAGAGGAAAAGCGCACCCGCTGCATGATAGCGAGGACGCTTTGGGGCGGGCGCATAAGACCCGTGGCGGCCCAGGGTAAGACCTCACCGAGGCGCCTCGGGCGCAGCCTTGGCGCTGGTGGACCTGGGTCTTCGTGGCGCAGGCCGCCATGAACTTGATCTGCGCGGAATACCAGATAGCTGGCGCTCGGCAGGGAGCTTGAGTCTTGAGATCAGCCGCAGAGATAGAAACCAGCGAGCTCTCGCAGCACGCAAACGTGCACGGACAAAAGAAAAGAGGGCAGAAAAGCGGACAGGAGAGAAGAGAAGAAAAAAGAGAAGGGACGAAGAAAAGAACGCAGAAGATGAAATAGAAAACAGAAGAGAAGAGAAGAAACGAGAAGATGTGAGAGGAAAATGGAAGAGAAGAGAAGAGAAAGAAGATAAGCAAAGAAAAGAGACGAACATGTAGAAGCAGACAGAAGAGAAGATCAGACAAAAGAGAAAAGTAGCTAGAAGACAAGGGTTGACAGACGAGGAGAGCAGACAAAAGAGAAGAGCAGACAGAAGAGAAGAGCAGACAAAAGAAAAGCAAAGACAAGCAAAGAGAAGAGAGGAAAAAGGAGAAGAGAAGAAAGGATAATGGAAAGGAGTGATAGGGGCGAAACGAGAAGGCATGAGAAGAGAAGAGAAGAGAAGAGAAAACGAGAAGAGAAATAATAGGGGAAGAGAAGTGCATAGAAGAGAAGAGAAGAAAAGAAACGATGAGAACAGACAACAGAAGAGAAGCGAACAAAAAGAAAGCGAAGGGGCGTAAACGGAAATAGAAAAGGAAAAGGAAAGTATTAGGGAAGAGAAGAGAAAGAAATAGGGGAAGAGAAGGGAAGAGAAGAAAACAAACAATGAGAAAAGACAAGAGAAGAGAAGCGAACAAATGAGAAGAAAAGAGAAGAGAAAAGAGAAGAAAAGAAGAGAAACAGATAAAAAGAAGAGAACAGAAGAGACAGGGAAGGCAAGACCAGGGAAGGGACCTGAAGAGAAGATGGGGGTAAACGAAAATAGAAAAAGAAAATATTCGAGAAGAGAAGAGATTGCAAGACCAGAAAAGAAACTAGAACAGAAGTGGAGGAGCGAAGAGAAGAGAGGAGAAGAGATAAATAAACAAAAATGGAAGAAAGACAAAAAGAAAGCGAGCAAAAAAGAAACACAGAACAAACAAGAAACAAATTAAAGAAAGGCAAGGCAAGAAAAGGAAAGAAACGAAAGGAAAGGAACGAAACGAAAGGGAAGGAAAGGGAAGAAAGGAAACCAAGGAAGGAAGGAAGGAAGGAAGGAAGGAAGGAAGGAAGGAAGGAAGGAAGGAAGGAAGGAAGGAAGGAAGGAATGAATGAATGAAGGAATGAAGAGAAAGAAAGACAGAAAGAAAAGAAAGGAAATAACACCAAGGAAATACAGCAAGAAACGGAGAAAGCAAGACAAACAAAGAAAGAAACCGAGAAACCAAGAAACCACCAACCAACGAACAAACGAACGAACGAACGAACCAACCAACCAACCAACCAACCAACCAACCAACCAACCAACCAAGACCCTGAACGCCTTGAAGAGGGAAGGCCTTACTTCACAGAAGGTGTCTGCCGTGGCTCTTCGGAAGCAGGTGCCTGGACTGGCGCGCAACTGCTTGGAGAAGAAGCGGCTCCACGCTCAGTTTGCTAAGCTTGGCCTTGCCGATTGCTGGGGATGGGGTGAGGTTGAGAGATCTGGGCTGTCCGCTGCATTTGTAGAGGGAAGTGTCGACAATGCTTTGCGGCGTGCAGGGTTCTCACGGGCACCGTGCGGGCGCTGCTTCGTGAGCGCGAGTGAGAGCGCAGAGGAAGCTGAGACGCAAGCTGCGCATGAGCTTCAGCAGGCCTTGGCAGCTGTTTCCTCTGCAGCGAGCAAGGCTGACAACGGTGCAGACGAGGCAAGGCTGCCATGCTGTTCTCCAGGAAAAAGCAAAGTGCTCATATGCATTTGGGGTCAGACAGGGACAAAAGCCGCTGAAAGGCAACGAAGTTGCAAGCAGATGTCTTCCACGCAGTGGCTGCTGAGAAGTGGAACAGTGAACCGAGCGAAACTTCAAGACGGCGCTCAAGCTGTCCCATGATTCCATGGACCACAAGAGCACTGCGTTTGAGCAGGAGGCCGTGCGCAGTGGTGCACTGTGGCTTTTGTTGCTTGTGCGTGCGCAGTGTATCTAGATATGTTTGCACACGTGAGTCTGTACCAAGATGCATCAGGCGACTCTGGCCCGTCCTGGGCAGATTCACCCTGCAGAAAGCTTGCCAGAGGAGCTTGACACTACATCATGATCTTACTTCACTTTGGCCAGGAAAGGCCAAGAATATGCTTTGCTGAACTTTGGGTAATTCAAAGCGCTTACGGAACATGACGAAGCGCGGGCTCGCGGGCTGGCGTGTGCGCGCGCGCGGGCTCGTGAGGAGTTGACGATGAACAACCCTGGCGGCGATGTTGCTGCTGCGGGCTGTAAAGTGTGGAGGAGGCGATGTTGCTGCTGCGGGCTGTAAAGTGTGGAGGAGGCTAATGCGCTGGTGGAATGCTGTGTTTTCATCTGAATGATGTGGATGTTCATGAGCATCATCTATGGCACGACCCTGGTGGATATCAAGGTGATGCGGCGGGCAACATCCGGTGCATCGCCATGCGTGTGTCTTGTGCGTCCGACAGCCCCTTTTGAGATTGCTCGAAAGAGGAAAAGCGCGCGACAATATTTGTTTTGCTTGTTGCCCTCCAAGTCACGTGACCCTTCTGACTGTTTGGCGTCAGTCCAAGTCGGCTCAAACTTTAGACGGATGAGTGCCGTTTTTGTGACACTGGCAACAGCTTCTCGGGGCTAAAGCGATGTCCATCCCTAGACGCCTTCGATGCTTCACCAAAATGGGTTTTGAGCGACGCAGCCCTCAAGTGGAAGATTCCGAAAAGCAGCAACTGTCCTTGTTCGAGGGGGAAGACCCATTGTCGTCAACACGCAGCAACAAGACAGCACAAACAACAATTTGCGAGCATGGCATGATGTGAATGATTTTTGTACACACGCGCACTCAACAGGAGGGCACATCCATCAAAAAACAAGTCAGCAGCTAGACCACGCGTCACCAAGACAAAACCAACCATCCTGCGCCATTTGTGGCAGATCTTTATCCGTTGTTGCGTTGTCGGTTTGTCCTTTGTAACCGCCGATAAGGTTTCCATCAACAACAATAAACAATCCAACCATCAACCCACAGCAGGCAAAGGACGAGAAGGCAATCCAAGCAACCAAGAACAACATCAATAGATCGGTTTCCCTGCAGTTGCCTTCCACGCCTCCCAAAAAGGGCATCCAAAGCATAGGGATGATTTTTGCTGGGACTAGGTCAAAGGGAGCTCGAAAGTACACGCCCATATTGAGGGATTGCTCCATTGTTTGGACATGCCCGCAATGTTTAGTGGACAACATCACTGGTAGTCTTAGTTTGGAGAGGACATTGGGCCCACCCAAATTTCTTGCAAAACGAAGGTGGCCCTGGCCCAATTTGTCCATGTCCTCTTGGGGAAACCTTCGTCATGTCCGGGGCTCATATCCCAGTTGTTCAGCGGCACCCCCTAAATCCCTTCTGCTTTGGCGGGTTCAGGAGCCACTACACAAGGAAAGCCCCTTTTTGTTTTCTGCACGGGTGGTTTCCGTTTGGTTTCCCTTCAAGCAGTTCAAGAAGTGCCCAAACAGACACATTTCCGGCCTCGCTTTCGGGAGGCGCGGCCGGGGTGCGGCGGTGCTGGCGCTTTTGCAGGCACCAGCTCTAGGGTACCACACTCCTGTCATGGGACACACTAGTGAGAGGCTCCCCAAAGAGATGTGGAAAACCCGGCCAATTTTGGTTTGGGGTATATCGAGCTTTGGGATTTGATCAGATCATGTAGTTTTTGCTGGGCTGATTCCAAGGCAAATGACATGTGAAGTTGTTTTTCCTCTAGCCCTAGTCTTGGGTGGGCGTGTTAGGCTGGTGTGTTTGGTTGGTGAGTTAATTGGTTTGGTTCTCCGTTACCAGTGGTGCTCTTTTCCCTTTTTTTGGTAAGCGTTCCCCTTTCAACTTAACCAACCAAAAAGAGGGTGCCCCTTTTTCTCCCATAGAAATCCACCGGGCATCCGCGTTGGTCCGGTCTGCTTGGCCTTTGCTTTCCTCGCCTCCGTTCGCCATCCTCGGCGGCTCGGGCCTCTCGGGGCGTCAGGTGGCCTGGCGGCCCTTTGTGGACGCGGTGCAGCTGGCGGCGGGGGCCGTGGGCACCGACCTGGACCTCTGGGAATGGGAGGACCGACGGACCCCACGGACCCCACGGACCCCACGGACCCCACGGACCCCACGGACCCGCCGATTCGACCGGCTCCTTAGGCTTTTAGATAATTCTTAGTGTTTAGTGGTTGGGTTTCCGTTTAAGCCACTAAAAGTTAAAGTGTAAGCGGGGGATCTGAGGACAGCCCAGAGAGGAAATGGTTGAAACCAGGAGGGTTCGTTGGTGTTTGCCGAAAAAATATCCGAGATGTTCAAGGGGGTTTCATCTGAGTTCGGTGGCACCACGAGATGAAACCATGAGGTTTGTGCTACTACCGCCAACCACCATCACGTTTGTGTCTGGAGTTCGTGCCGCCAGAACGTTCGTTGGTATTTGCAGAGGAATCATCCGAAATCAGGGTTTCTTAGTAACCTAGGTGCAGGATTTCGCCCATCTGGCTTCAAACAGCCGCCTGAGGTAATGAGCACTGACATCCCCCCAAAGGAAAACACAGAACACCACTCCAAAGAAACCCGCAAAAAAACAATGAGCTTAAGCAAAGGGAGAGTCAAGATTACAATTTGCAGAAAAGAACAATTCACTGAAACTCAAATCGAGAAGTGCATACTAAATTATACGGACAAAGCAATCAAGCAATACCACATCAAATGGAAACTCAAGTCCAGCATGCTAAATCAAATGGAAATTCAGATCCCTCAAGTCCAATCTCAGAAGGAAGCTATAGCAATACTAAATGAAACAACACAACCCAATTTCAAAGTGGGGGGGCATTTGTTTTAGAGGAAATTATTGTGGAGTCGGGGGGGGGGTTGAGAATCATAGGCCACCATTATTGTGAGCTTCGGATTGACGCGGGCCGTCGACTTTTCTTTGAGGAGACTCCGAGGGACTTCCAACTAGGTCCTGATATTGGGCCCTACTGTGGATGGACGAAAACCTGCACCACCCAAGAAACTCTGGAATGTTTGGATTCCCCTGTAAATACCAGCAAACAATGGTTTCCCATGGTTTCCCAAGTGGTGCGAAATGGATTTCGTCCATCCACAGTATGAAAGGGAATTTCCGTGTCGGTGTGTCGCTTCGGGATGTGCAACCTGTGGCACAGGATGCCACAGAGTGCTTGAGCGTCGGCCGGAAGGTCGATTCACATAAAGCGGCCGGCATTGCTCATGAGCTGTACATGAACAAACAATACATCGATATTTGTCCATGTTGTTTATATATGTAGTACACAGTGTTTAGGTTTATATATGTGGGTATGGGTCAAAATTTAACCAACAGGGGACCGCAGGTTTTAGTCCATGTTTCCATTTGCCAGGGATCCGTTTTGGGTACCAACTTTTGACCCACTGCTATGTTTGTTCATCGACCTATTTGGCCCGGGTTTTTTCGCATTTCTCTCCAGGACATGGCGGATGTTTTCAAGGAGGAGGCGCTGGACGGTGCTCGGCCCATCGGCGCAGTGCTGGGCGTGCGAGCGGAGGCGGATTGCAATCCTCTGCGCGCCGGGGGCGGGCTCCCCACCGCCAGCTGGAACCAAAGGATCCCACAAAAACGTCCATTTGTTTAATAATATTATATATATATATAGATAAAAAGAAGAAAAACAACTGGTGGTTTCAAAAAAGAATCTGTCACTACTGGGAATATTTATTATTATTATTATTTTCCAGGGGGCTCAAGCAAATCGAAGAAAGGAAACGGCAAACATCTGGGGATCCAAAGGAAAGAGGGCAAACAAACTTAGCTTGATGGCTGTTGGATGGGATCTTTAGACCATAGACGAAAACTGGTGTAGCTGGTGTCTTGGAGAGTTGAACCAGGGATCAGGGATCATCCGCCCAGGGTTTTCAAGGTCCCTCAGACAAAAAGCAAGATCGGGGATCGGGTTGGGAGGTTGGGGGGGGCATCAGGGTCCGTGGTACTATTGGGTGGGTGGATTTTTTCCTCTTGCGATCTTTTAGGTTTTCCGTATTGGTTGCCCACAAGCAGTTACACACTTTTTGCGGAGGGGTCAACAAAAACAAATAAAACTGGGGTCATGAATTTGACTGTTTCTTGGGTTGATCAAAGTCAAAAAGTAGTGCTGTCGCTTCCTTTTATCTCACCACTTAGCGTGATTTTGATCATGGTAAATAATGATGAGGCCAGACAAAGGACGCATCTGCATGACATCCCTTGCTTTTGTGGGTATTTGGCCAATGTCCACCGCAGTACAACATTTGAAGCTGGTTTGTATTCCAGAACCCTACCAGTTGCAAATTAGTTTTTACAGGGAAACGAATCAAGAGTGCAAGCATGCTTGAAGGGTTGGTCCTTTTCCGTTGTAGGGAGTTGTCCTTAAAACCGTAAGGCTTACAAACTCTTGACTGCCGGTACCCAGTAGGTCTTTGCGAGGGGGTACGGCCCGTGATAGAATGAAATTGAAACGGCTGTGGGACGTTTATCTTCAATAACATGTGCACCAAAAGGGCACTGCTTAAAACGTCCTATTCGATATGTTTGCTATTAGGGCACTCAAACATCACCTTCAGCCCTTTGAAAAAGGGACAATAGGGAATCCTCAACTAGGGGTAGGTTTGACTGGAAACTGGAGGGTGTTCGACATTTGACGAATGCAACACGACCTCTACAATGCCCACACGAAGTAATCGAAACTGACCAAGATCTTGTAGATTGAGGGTTTGCCTCAGGTTCCACAGCAAAGTCTTGCCGAGGCTTTGCCGCCAGGAGCAACTTATGAGAATCTTATTTGCGGCTGGATGTGGTGGCTTGCATTTGGCAACGGACCCGTTGGTCTCCTGAGCCAGCTTGGGTTGAAAGCCAAAGAAAGGGTGAGGTTTCTCATTGATGCCATCTGCTTGGCATCCCGGAAGAGCCGCAATCAAACCTGGATAGATAGAGGCTGGCAGGGGACAGTCCCAACAAAGACTCGGAGCAGCAAGTCGCCCTGTAGATGTTTTACCATGTGATTTTGGGCAGACCCAGTTTTGATTATGATTCATGACTTGCGTTTTCTTTCTCCTTATGGATCCTTGGCCCCCTAGATCCTTTGCAAGCCATCACGTTCCATTCTTGTTTTGCTCCCGGGGTCTCAGGTTGGTTTCCATTGAACCGAGACGCGGAGATTTCCCATGCACAGGGCCACGTGCAGCTTCTCAGGGAGCTCTTGTCTGCAGAGGCGAGAGGGCTGTTCGGTTGGCTGCGACCACCTGGGAGGGTGGATCCAATTTGGTGCGTGCTCCTGGCTTTGGTTTGAGGCTTTGGCTTTGGTTCTCTTTGAAGGCAAGCTAATTCTAGGACAGGAGACTGGAGCCATGTTTGTTGGGATCTTCAATCTTCACTATGTGTGTTGAGATCCACATTTGTTGCTGGTTTGTCAAGCTGTTCCTCATGTCTCTCACTGATTTCAAGTAGCCCAGCCTCTGCTTGTTTTCCTTGGGCAGAGCGGGGCAAGCCACTTGCTGTGTTTTGGCGATTTGGCCATTGAGGATTTGATAGGTGGTCTGACGTAGCTTTTCCCAACTGAGTGGCACTCTTTGTCCTTGTTGTGCCCAGTGAAAGTGCACGAGGGCAAACCCTCCTATGGGCACTTCCGAAGTTGCTTTTAGTACTGTTTCAGGCGCATGAGCAAACGAGCAACCAGGCTTTCTTCTTCTTTTTCTTTTTTAAAGCATCGAGCTTTTACTTGTGCATTTGGACAAGCGCAACGCGTCGAGCTCAATGTTGGTTGAAGCCCTGATAGCCAGAAGTGTGTAAGTCAATCTGCCTAAGGTTGACCTTCGCGGCAACGAAACAGCTCAGGCTGAGATTGATTATTTGTAAACTAACCAAGTCACAGCGGAACACCTAACTTTAAGTGGGCTGTTTGCGGTGGTTGTGAAGCTGTTTGAATCATCATACACCACCAGGACAAAAGTTGTGCCTCTTGGGCCTTATCAGGAAACACAACCCTTTTTCCCCTAGAATCCTGCAAGTTGTTGCGGGGTAATCCGCGGTCGAATATTCACACTTCAAAGTCCAAAGCCTTTAAAGTAGCTTAAGTTCAATCCAGGGTGACAATTGACCGCCCCACCTGCCACATAAAACGGAGTTGGAAATTCGATCTGCGGGTGATCCACACGGCTTTGCAGCAACCATCAAGAGGCATAGTCCTGATGCAATATGGTTAGCAACCTGCTGTTGCACTTGCTGCCCTGCTTTGACAGTTTCCCGGAAAAATGGGTTTCGTCTTCTAGGAACGCCTTAAGAATCCAATGGGTTCAAGGCGCAGATCTTCAATAGACATCTGCGGGATCTATTGGGACAGTTCCCTCCCAGGATAGCCATCTTTATATGGCCCTATCAACCGCTAGCAGGACCATAGCCGCCACACCCAACAGACAAGTTGGGAACAGGCATGATCCATTCCTGTGCTAGGTGATTACAGCGGAGGAACTGCTTCTTGGATGTGCAGATGGCGAATACCCTGTTTGGATGCAAGCAAATTCCGAGCTGATTCGAGGCGGTACCCCAAATAAGGGATTGCTTCAGGGGGAGTAATCTGATTGGTACCAGTATTTCCAATTAGTTGCAATTGGCACGACTCTTCAATCGCATTGTATACGGTTCACGGGACTGTCATGGGGCTCAGAGACAGGGAAGGGTCCGACAACAGGCATGCCTACATATAGATTTCTTAAACGAGGAGAACCTCGAAATGGAGTAGTTCCCTTTTGCTTCCATTTTTGCAACCACCCCAAAAGGACGCCTCAAAAAGATGCCCACATGTTGGCCGGATGGGCAGTTTGGTTTCGGCCTGGGCCAAGCCGCCGGAGTCGGCGAGGGATTGGTTTTGCCAATGAGATGAAGCACATAAAGGTCCGGGTGGGTTCCCGTTTTTTTTTCTCCAGCTTGGGAGTTCGTTTATTTAAGGCGCAGTTGGTGGTTTGGATTTGGGCGCAAACCCCAGTTCTTGTTGACACCAAATGCGCTTCCCTCCCCCCAACGTCCAAAGCACCAAACCAGATCACCAATCGGTGGTATACAAGGTGAGCTTCGCTTCTTCCATGATTGGAGCTGGTCAACTGATATCCCAAGGGCCCCAAGGTGACCCTTGGACCGCCCAAAGCTAAGAAGCCAGCCGAGTCTCAAGCGCAGGAAATGCGGTGTTGACAGAAGCGGATGTTGACAAATCATTGGGTTAGATTCTCGAGGGTATGATCCAAAGGCGCACAGTGACCTCCATTGACCTCAAACCATCCGTTCCCAACACAGGGGTTTTGCCTGACTACTCCATGTCGAGCCAGTACGAATACCAAGTTTCGGCCTGGTTCTATCGTTTCAGGATTCATTTTCTCACTCACCCAGCCTTTAGTACTCGTAGAGAGACGCGCAACTCGCTTCGATGCAGATTTGATTTGATGCTGCCAATCGTCAACAGGACATCCTCATTCAATTCCCTGGACATGATCATTGCCGCAAGGGGCAATTTCCGAATTCCGGAACCCGTTTTTTGGCTTTCATTGGTAACTTTAGATACGTGCAGTGGGTACGACGCTGCTTCTTTGCAGGTCAAGTCCAATGCCTGTAGCACAAGACATGCCACACATGTCACGCCTCGCCAACTTGTTGGGGTCGCTTCTAGAGCAGCAAGAGATAATGATAGAGATCACCGTCATTGAAAGAGCACTAGGCTATGACGGCCATGAGTTCAGTGCCTCAAAACTTGGTTAGTTAAGGACACGGTGAGGTCAACCTGATATCCCCACAAGAGCCTGCTGCCCGTTAACTGACTGATGCTTGTTTGAGGAGGAAGTCATACGGTCCATGGCTTTTATACAATTCGGCCATATCTTTTTATGTGCGACAGCTGTGTATGTTGGCCATTAATAACAGGTGCGACTTTAGTTTAGCGGTGTTTGCTGATTGATTGGACTCGATTCACAGCACGGGTCAGAATTTGAGTATCGGATGTCAAGAGTTTCACAATGAGCCGCTGGAAGGGATGCTTGGCCATTGGGAAATGGTGGCAGCGGTCGCTTGTTTCTCAGGACATAGAGGCAAGGCTACCAGGAAATACTGAGCTGAACTGGGTCAGAAGTCCCCATGCTTGAGGCTGGTGCCCGACATGCGGGGCCGCACCGCGCTGCACCGCGCCGCACTGAGCGGCCAGGCGGACCTGGTGTGGGCGGTGAAGGAGCGAGGCTTGCGGCTTGCGGCTTTCGGCTTTCGGACGCCCCCCGCAGCTGTTTTCGTTTTTTCAAGGGCCTTCTTGCCCCAAAATCCCGTGGAGAACGGCTGTGTTGAAAAAGAATGATGCTTGGAAAGAAGGGGGAATCAGTTCTAGAGTTTGTGGACAACCCAAATCCGCATGTTTGACCGGTGCTGGTTTCCTTCTAGAATTTCAATCAAGGCGTTGACGGGCCATTTGAGTGGAAGGGCATGGGTGGTCCTTTGCCATGCAGAAACGGCCTTAACCATTGCCATGAATCCCGCAGCCTTTGTGTAACCCAGCGGGACTGGGGAGGTTCTGAATCAGGGTGCCTTTGTGTGCCTTGGAAGTTTATCTTCGTCTTGGACACTCGATGTTGGAGCGTTTTCAGGAACAGCTGCCGCAACGTGTTGCGCCTCATTTCTACCTCGATCCCTTTTCCTGTCTGGCGGCCCTTGGGTCGTGGTGATTTGCTTGGATCTAAGGGTCACTACACTCGCACCTCAGTATTGCACCTTGGACATCACGGCAGTTCGAACCGAGAAGATCGAGTTCCGGATACCTTGCCCAAGAGCCATTTTCCCAAACTCGACGAGTAATACAACTACGACCCTGCAACAAATTGCCACATTGGGAGCCATTTTATGCAAACATGAGTGATACAACAACCCTCACCAAAAAGGTTGGGCCGCCCCGGGTTTCCCTTGTACCCCCGGTGGATTTTCCAATTTTCCCCGATGAATTGTTCGGTTTGAGGAGTTCTCTGGTGCGAGCCATGAGCACCTGGAGCGGCTGGACCTTCAGGCGTTTCGGGGTTTCTGGCGCGGATTTCCTGACGTGGCGCGTGGCTCAAAATGACACCTGGCACCCTCCGACCGACTAACATGGCTGTGGGTCAAAACCAATGGTACCATCTTGGGGTAGGTGCACCACCCGTTTTAGTCCATTTTAGTGGGGATTGGGATGTTCACTGGGGGTACGGGATTTTGACCCATGGCCACACGGAAGTGCACAGACCCCTCTGTAGAAAGACCTCTATGTTACTGTAGTTGGTGGGAGGGTATATGGGAACAAAGACCAAAACCTGCACAACCCCGACCCCCAGGTATATGCACCGGGTGTAGGGAGGAAAGGGGCTTTGGCCTTGTGACCAAAGTGTTTGGGAGAAGGTTCGCAACCTTCAGCGGGAAATCTGATTTTCGGGTTATCCTAGTGCACCCAAAACTGTAAAGAAGCGGAACCTCAGTCTTGACTTGAACTACACAGCCACAGTGTCTAGCAGACCTTGGACTTTCTTCTTGCTTGTTTGGCCTTCAAGGCGGTTTTCGAGCTTTTTTCGAGAGGGCTTTCTGGGTTTCGTAATGCACCGTTTTGTCCGCTAGCGCAGCTCACTTGCGAGCTGTGCTTGAAAATTCAGTGAGGATTGCTGCAAGATAGTTGTCCTGTGGAACGCCTTCGGAAGAAGCATGCTTGCAGGAATCCTTGCACAATAGAGCTTCACGGTGCAGAAAGCTTGCGTAGAACACTTTGGCAAGACTAAAAGGATTAGTGCGTCTTGGCCCGTTTGGAAACGTGCTTTGCTTCCTGATTCAATCAGTCTCTGCCGCGCGCATGAATGTGGATGAACACTTTGAAGACTTTGAAGCAAACCTCGGAAGAGCCCTGGCAAAGGAGATCCTGAAAACAGTTTTTCCAAGGTTATTGCATCTGATTCTATAAGCGTTTGTCAGGTTGCAAAGGTTACGCAGACAAAGTGCTCTTTGGGAAACAACAACACAGTTGGGTTACCGTTCGCCAAGACAGGCTCACCATATTATGTATCTGGCAATTGACTTTGGCGTGTCTCTGCACCTACTGACAGCTCTACACGGTTTTCCCTGCTTAAGATTGTGACGTGGTGCCTTTTGTGTGGTCTGATTTTTTTTGTATTTTTGAACCTCCTGTAACTCATGCTGCGAGGGACGCGGGCTGTTGCACCACGCGGTGCTCTCTGGGGATGCAGAGACGGCCGCCCGCCGCGAAGGGGGGAAAAGTCTGGGAGCTGCTCATTTGCGGGGCATGCCGCCCCCAAGACTCAAATCGAATCCGACACTGCGAACTTTGAACACCTGACGACATTGAGGCACAGTCGTTGGGAGTTGCAGTATTTCTTAGGATGTTATTCTGCATGGTGCCCTGAATTTGCAGCTGGATTTTCAGCTCTGACTTGCTGCGAGAATGTTGGTTCAGCTTTTGTGGGCGGGGCAGATTGGAACATCTCAAAAAATGGGACATGGTTACATGACCGGTTTGACCCATGATGATAGTTCCTTTCTTGGTGGTCCAGTATTGTTTTGTTTTGTTCAGGCGCTTCACATGTCGCTGCTACCCTTTGCTGTGGCACAGCTTGCTGACAGTCCGTCTCAAGAGTTGCAAGCCTGGACATATATTCATGTGCCGCATAGCCAGCTGACACCTGGTTCAGAAATTCATGCCTGGTCCCCGAGTGCTGACAGGCTCAAGAATCAAGTTGCGAGATGGGCAGGGCTATGGGCCATGCTTGCATTTGTGGACCGTTTTCATGCCTTGTCCAGAGATCCAGATGCTGTTGCTTATTTACTTTGTGTGCAGGTTTGATTGCATGCCGATTCCGGCGGTACCAACTGCCCCTCGCCGACAAAGTACAACTCTGGTTGACACGACTCAAGCTTCGAAGAAGCTTGCGAGTTGCCGCACGGTATTGCTTTGGCTGTGCTACTCCTGGGTGGTGTGCCTTTTTGGGAGGGTGCCCATTTGGGGGCTCAAATGTCGAAATCCAGTTTGTGCCTTTTTGGGAGGCTCTCCGTTGTTGGGGCTCAAAGGTCGAAATCCGGTTTTGAGGGAATTCCTTTTGGAGCCCCACCCATGTGAGACATCCCCAGGTGCGGCTTTGCGTGCGGCTGCTGCCTCGGCCCCCAGAAGAGCTGGCGTCGGGGGACAACTGGCACTACACGCCCGCGCACCTCGCGGCGCCCTGGGCAGAGATTTTTTCTCGGGGGCCACGAAACATACGCCAGGTAAGTTGACACGCAGTGTCAAAAGGGAGGCCTGGGTTTGCCGAATTGTTGGCTGCATCCCTGAGCTGGCTTAGCCAGTTTTAGATATCAGACTCAGATGTTCTGATCGTCGAGGTGGGAGTATTGTTTGTGGCCGAAGTTTCCGCCGTGCCCACGCAACTCCCGTCTGCTTGCATTTGTTGGCGGTTCTCCTGTTTGCTTCCAGGTGCTTCTGTCTACAGTCGGGCAGATGTCGATGTTGATGTTGCCTCGCATGCGATCGCTGCCCGGTGTGGTCGTTTGAGCTTGGGTAGCTCCGAACAAATCAATCTTATCCACAAACAGCAAGCAGAGCATGGGCACGATGCCTCCCCGTTGCATGAACCGTTTGCGTGTTGCTCGGTTGCTCTTGGGACGCAACTGCTTATCCTTCCCATCGCAGGTCGGCCAAGCTTCTCTCCATTCCATTCGAGCCCTCCCCCAAGCCCTTGATCCGACGGAGCTCGGAGCGAGTGGCTGCCACGAGGCAACGGTGGATGGCGTGGATGCCATCAAGGTGCTCATGGAGATGGGAGTTCCGACTGACAAGCACATGGGTTGCTCGGCTCTACTCAGTTGGTGGAACAGTCCCTCAGGTCATTGGGATGTGATTTTCCAAAGGCTAGATTGTTTGGTTGGGCGGGAACATTCACTCAGTACTGGGCATCGTTGTGCGTGTTAGTGAGATTATTTGATGTACGAGCATTGGACAAGGTGGAATCATGTCAATGTGTGAACGGAAATGCGGAATGTGTGGTCATCAGGCTCTAGATTCCGAAAGAAAGCGTCAGGATTCCACCACCACCCCCCACAAGACTTTTTGGACCACGGCAGGGACCCAGAAACCGAACGACTGTTTGCCCTGCATCTTGACAGAGCTTCATCAGCACTGCTCATTCAGAGATGTAATATGGTTCGTGGGTGGGCCCCCCTTCTGGAGAGGTAAAACCAAGTTTAGTATGTGTAGTACAGGCCCCCCTGATGGCCGGTAATTGGCGTCCCGGGTGAAGTGCCGGCAATTGACCAGCACTTGCTGAAAAATGGTTTTGTAGTCATATATTATTTTGCCATCATCAAAGTGCAGTGAAAAGTCACTTTTGTTGAAACGTCACTTCAGGATACTAGAGGGGATCCAATTGAAGGGTTGGGCTGGCATGTATGATCATTGCACATGCAACGCGCCCGGGGGGAGGGGGGGCGACACGCTGGTGACACGCTCATATCCCAAAAAAGTGACCGTTCAACGTACATGTGCCGGCAATTGGCCACCCCCCGACACGCCGTGACACGCCGTGACACGCTCCTCAAGAACCCCTCCCAACCTCAACCTTGCCCTCCAGACTCCAAACCTCAAATTTGCTGCTCTCCCCTTTCCCCTGCAACCCCATTCCAAAGGACTTTGAAAGGTCACTTGTATCATTGCACAAATGGCACTAAGTACAGATGCTTGATACTTGATAGCAAATTGCTTTTGTAGTCACTTAGACATAAAGTGACATCGTTTTGCCCAAAATCGATGTGCCGGCAATTGGCCAGCCATTGGGGGGTGCTGGGTGTGGCCTGCCAGTGATAGAGCGACTCATGCGAACAAGTGCACATGATAGTTGTTTTCCGGGCTGCCTTGTACGGCGAAAAGCAGGGTGTTTCCGCAAGCTTTCTCCGGTTTTGGAGCATTGGGTAGTGGGCATGGTAGGAGCCGACAGAGGATACTTGAGTTGGGATTTGACATGTAAGTCAGAGACCCTTCCCTTCTCGCAAGGAGCCTCATCTCGATGGACTGTCCCTCCATTGTTTTTTTTTTTTTGTTCTTTTACATGGGCTTTATCAGGCCTCTATGGGAGCAGGGTGGGGTAAAGCAATGTCAACACACTTCCAACCAAGCAAATGAATCGGATCCCCTGTAAACTGGCATACACTGGCGCATTCATCAGGGATATTTGTTTACTGCTCCCCTTGCACATTAGCGTGGAACAAGGAAGTCCAATATGCAAGTCGGGCGCTTACCACACTCCCTTGCAGATTGATATGGACGCCCACTTTAGACAATCACAGCAGATTCCTCATGGCTTTCTGAGGCGCCTGGTGTCAACACGTGTGCAAAGTCCCTTTGGTCTACGGGGCCGCTGAGGCCCCAGCAAGCTTGAGAACAGCTCCGTCGTCCTGGTGGAGCCAAAGCACGAGGAGGAGGAGGACGTAATGCCGCAGAGCAATGCCGACCCAAGATGAAAACACAAAATAAATCCCTCGGTGGGTGAATAGAGGTTGGTGTCCCCTTCAAGATGGACTCCTTCACCGTTTTTTCTTCTTTTTTTTTTTTTTGGGGGGGGGGGAGGGAAAAACACGCCTTATGAGTTCAGCAGCTTGTTTGGTCCAGAGTTGACATGTAAACAATTCACGAACTAGGGGCCAAGGCAAAATGAGCTCACCTTTGATGATGGTTCCTTACTTTGGGCTTGCCAAGGTCTTAGCACGAGCTGGGCCTGTAAAGGCTTGGTGACCCTTGGTGACTTGGAATTTGCATCCACCGCGATCCGCAAAAGCATTTGTAGCTTTGACATTCCCAAACACCGTGACTGCCTTAAGCGCATGTTCAGACCCTCTTAGATTGTTCCAAGCTGTTTTGTCTTAGGGCTTCCTCATGGATATAATTTGAGACTGCTGTGAGAAGAGTCCAAGGGTTGGCTCCAGTTGACGGTCAAGCAAAAAGCATATCTGTCGGCATGGAACCAGGCATGCAACACATTGAGCTAAGCAAAATACAGCGACCTCACAAATTGGTTTCGCGACCTTACCGGGATAGACTAGTAGATGATGGTTTGTTATTGAGCCCTCCATTTCTGGTTCGTGAAATTGGGTTTTATCAAAAGGTCCGTGCAAGGAGTTTTCTATTCGGTGACTGGACCATTGGTGTTGTTTCAAGTCCCTCCGCGAAAGATTGGCCATGGAGTTTGCGAACGAGATATGTTTCCGTGAAATGTTCCGCGTTGGGCTCTTGGAGATCACTCCCTTGTAGACAGGGAGATGCGCAGCTCCTGTTCTTGATTCCCTGCCTGTGGTGGGAATGGTGCAAACTCAAACGTTGGCTGGGCTATTTTGGAGCATTTTTTTTGAAAGACAGGCGAAAGCCCATGGGGCTTGTTGCAAGGTTACACCCACACACACACACACCCGGCAAGCACGCAAGGGCGAATGGCGGGGACTGCTTTCATTTAACGTCGCTGCACGCACGTAAACTGCTTCACTGTGTTTGCAAGCTCCAGATTTGAAATTCATCAGATGAAAGTTTAGAGCAGTTCTTTCTCCCATAAGCTGCTGCAGCAGCTTTGCGGCGCCTGCGTGGGAAAGCCCGAATCAATAATCACGACAATAGTGAGATGGTCATCACCTCTTCGAATTCACTTCGAGTTGGACTGATTGCCACTCCTTTGAACTGGGTTGGTCTTTCGCCCTTGAAACTGAGGATGCTAGGTAGACAACACGATCATCTTTTGCAAGCAAATCACAGCGAGCTCACTGGGAGGTAAGACGAGCTCACCCATCATGTCCCTTACTTGTGGAATTCTTGTTGGTGGTTTGCGAATGTGTGAAAGGTGTAGTAGGTCAGCAAGTTGCTCTCACCAATTACAATCGAAGCCCGGGTAGGTAAAATAGATGCGCCAAGAAGCCCTTTTCAGACCATTTTCCTGACAGGTGTTGATTCTATCAAAAAATGGGTAGACCATTTACATGGTGCCTGTCAGGACCCCCCATGGCAGCTGGCAATGGTGCGGGGCGTCACCGGCAACGACCTGGTCGTGAAGTTTCTGGGGGGGAAGGCGCGGACGGGTTTGCAGGAAACAGGTTTCTACTCTCAGAGCCCCCCAAAATTTGAGCTTTTGACTAACCCCAGACTTAACATAGGTGAAGGGAATCCCCTCCAGCCAAGGGAATCCCCATTCATCAACTTCCACAGGTCCCAGTAGGTCAAAACCAATGGGATCCCATTTTGGGGTAGGTGAACCTCCCATTTTAGTCTATTTTAGTGGGGATTGGGATGTTCACTAGTGGATTTTGACCCATGGTTTGCCGCTTAGGAGACGAAGGTGCCTGTGGAGCGCTGCGAGGTGGCACCCACTCCCTTGGTCCTGGCGGAGAAGCTTCATAAGAAGGCTGGGCACTGGGGGGCAGGGAGGACGGACGCGGTGCCTAGCTTTGGGTCTGGGTCAAAATGAAACCAGGATATGGACCGCAGGTTTTGGTTGGCTCCATGTACCAGGGTTCCATTTCGAGTACCTATGTTTGACCCACAGCCAGGGCCTAGCTTTCTTTACTGGTGTTCTGGGTGTGGGCCAAACCATTGGCTCAAGTGTCCTCGGGGAAGTGATGCATGTCACGGAAATCTCTTTTGGTATGCGTGGAGCCCTCCCACTATGGGCCAGACTGGGCGCAAGCGGAAATTCGGCAGGGGCTATGTTAAAGGAAGCCTTATCTGGGGTCTCACCTATCGGGTTGGCCATTTCACGCCGAAAAAGATTGAGCTTGTGGTGATGGAACTAGACCGGTCAAAACCCTCAGTTATTCAGTGGCACCCTTTTTCATTTTTTTTGGTGGCTGCCCCACTAAAAATGGTCTTCCCCAAATGGGTTCCCTGTTGTTTCCAGGGTCACTGAACAACTGAGAACCCGCTGGCGCTTGCCTGCCTCTTTGTTGGAAGGACGTGCTGGAGAAACTCCGGGACTCGCTGAACCTCAGCGGCAAGCGGAAAATGAACATGTCAGGCGCGGAAAGTTTCAAGATGCACGGTTGGTCCGGAAAGGCATGTGAGTTACTGAGTTGTTTTCTTCTTCTTCTTTTTGAAGGAGAGCCAACGGGAAGGGCATCTGAGTGACTGAGGATTTCATTGATACTTGTTTCAGAGTGCCAAAGGGTCCGACTAATGAATCAATCATACCGAATGGGTAGCTGACAACGATTGATAGTCTACTTTTGCTTCGAATGCTGAGTGCGAAAGCCCTTCCCTGCAGAAGCCAGGGTGGGCCCCAACTCTTCCATTGTTCTCCTAGGAAACCAAGCCAGAGTGTGCGCAGCTCGTGTGGGACCATGTCTCCAAAAATTATGGGCTTTGACCCCCCATGGAAGTATGTTGGATTTTGGAAAAGCCACGTGCGGTGAATGGGAATCGCCTTTCAAATGAGCAAGAATCTATCACAGAGCTGCTGGGCGGCTGGGCAGCTTGCGCCAGGTGTGAAGAACATGGCACAGGCGTCCACAGTGGTGTCCATCATGAAGCACAAGGCTGACAAGGCATGGAGCATTCACGCAGTTCCGTGGGTTGGCCCCTCAAATCCGGTTTTGTTCGGAGACTCGCATCAAGCAGGTCCAAGAGAAGGATACCCAACTGTTTAAAGAGAGGGGAAGACAGGAGCACATGCCCACCGTGCAGTTCGATCAAGAGTAATACAAGGGGCTCGTTGGGGCTTGACTATTGGCTATTGCTTGACACCGAAAGTCATGATCAAGTTGGGCTATAAAGTTCCGCACAGCCCCATTCTCGTTGTGCAGGCCCTTATAATAGAATGTTTTGTACAGGTGTCCTCCTCCTCAGTACAAGGAGGCTTTCGCCCCACCAATGCCTGAACCTGTGTCAGGTTGGCACTTGCACCCGTGAGTTATGTACGTTCAAACCCAAGCAAGGAGTCCTTTGAAGAAGAGCGGCTCTGCCGTGTCTGACAAGCTGTCACACACGGGGCTTGTGTTTGTCGCAGACATCCCCAAGCTGCTCCGCACCCCCGAAAAAAGAGAAGTAAGCCGCCATGTTTCCAGCGTGGTTTGCCAGCCCAGCAAGTTCTTGCCTTGGCAAGGATGGGAGGGCGTGAAGAGGGTGAAGAGTGTTTGTTTCTGCTTTCTTGGACAGTCATGGCCCACAACCCCCATTCTGTAATCAGCAACCATTCCGCCCCCGTAGGGACCAAACAGATGTTGGCATGCAGCTAACAGCACTTCGCACAATCACAGCTCAAAGGAACCGGTGAAGCACTTTGGGACGTTTGACGAACATTTGGATTGCCCAAAGCCAGTTGACGCAGAGCCAAATGTAGGCTTTTAGGGTTTGGGGTTGTCAAAAGTTGAGGGTTTGAGAGGCTTGGGAGTTTGCGTCTTCAGGGGGACTATTAAGTTTGGTTTCTTTTGACTGTCTTGAAGTGTTTTCTGTTGCTTAAAGGTTCAACGTGTTTAAACACCTGGGTTTAGAGAGATACAGGGGGTTGGGATGCCTGGGATGCGGGCAAATGATGGGCATGGGGCGCGGGCAAAGGATGGGTATACGACGCTACTTTTTCCGGTGGTCGCACATTGCACTTCAAGTGAAGTTGCCTGACAGCATTTTATATTGTAAGGGCCGCTGCACATTTGCAGCGATTGTTTTGCGGCAACTGCTGACTTCGTTGCAAGTTGCCCGAGCTTTGGGGAGCTTATGGCCAGACCGTAGGCGTTTCACTTTCGAAACACGGGAAGAAAAGGCCTGAATATGCACAGTTGCGGGGCAACTACCACCCACTGTGTGGTGCAAGGGAAGCGATATGCGGACCACTGCCGTAAGCAGGGCACCTGCCAGGTCCGGCACCTGGGCTGAACGCGCGAGCATGTCCAGTTTTTCTTGGCCGCTGAGGCTTTTCAGCCGACAACTGCCAAGGACCCATGAGACAACACCGGTGGATTGTGGTTGGATCCTGCTATCCTGCAGGTCAACATGGAACATCTGGAGCCCAAAATGCCCATGTTAGATGGAATCTCCTTTTTTCGGGGAGTTGGTTGGGCGCCGGTTTCCGCGCAGCGCGAGGCGGAGTCGCCGGTGAAGCGCCTGCTGCGCATGAACTCCCCTCAATCCCCCTCCAACCGGAGGCGGGCTGGGCTGCACTGCGACTCGTGTTTGGCTCACCATGCAGTCTGGACAGCTGAAGCTGAGGGGTTTGCCCTGGAGTCCTGCAACATCAAAGCAACCTGGGTCACTCGGGAACGTGTCCAAAGCAACATGTGTTGCTTGGTAATCTCCAAAGGATTGCAAGTTGTTGCTTTTGGTTGCAGGGTGTTCTGCATTGAGCAAATTGATCGATGTGCAAGTGTGAGGCCGCAGGATTCATTTGCGGACCTTCAAAGGCTCATGGGACCAGACTACAGTGACATTCTACACATGGAATCTTTGTTTTTGTTTGAACCCCGAGCTAGCCACAGAGAATAAATATTGTTTTGCCTTTTGGTAGATCGGCCAACAGATTCCATGGGACTCCCTTGCGGTTCCATTGGGCTGAGTTAGCGCCACAATCAGAACCGGGTAGATGAAGGTTAGTAAGGGGCAGTCCCAGCCAGAGCTAGTTGTGGCCGCCTTCTTGGTTCTTGAAGCATGGTTCTGGGTCAACCATTTTAGTACTGGGTTGTGATTATGAGTCACTTCCTGAGTTTCTGGACTCCTACTTTTGATTATGCTTTAGTTCCTAAGCCCCTTCAATACCCGGGTTTTGACCAGGATCTTCACCGAGTGACGTTGACTCGACGCGCATCGCATGCAGGGCCGAGCGTGGCGCCTCCAAGAGCAACTCCGCCGCGCGGCGCCGCTTCCGCGGGGCAGCCCTGCGCCTTGGCCAGGCTGTTGGTTTGGGAGGACGTGCGCCAATGGGGGTGGGCACAAAATTTCCCGTGTTCTGCAGAGAAAATTCTCTAGAGAAAACACGTTTTGTTTTCTCTTTTTGGGGCAAGTGGAGAACAACTAATAGGGTGTGGGTCAAAATTTAACCACCAGACCGCAGGTTTTAGTCCTTGGTTCCATTTACCAGGGATCCGTTTTGGGCACCTATTTTCGCTCCGAAGAAAAGAGCAGCTACACCCAGATATCCGTTTTGGGAAGGATCATGCATTTCATAGCCATTGAAAGGATGTGCCCTTAACCTAGTGCAATGTTTGGCTGGGCTTGCTTTGACCCTGGCCTGTGCTTTTGGGCAAGGAGAACCCGCCAAACGCCAAGCGCTGGCAGCGATCCTGAGAAAGAACTGTCAGGAAACTGAGGTCAATGGACTTTGGAGTGTGGTGCCTGTGCAGTTCGTTTGAGGACTCTTCTGGCAATCGGCAACTGTCACCTAAACAGTTGCTCAGAGCTGAGTCTTTGGTTGCATATTGCCCGTGCGCGACCTGTTTGGCTTTCGCCTAGTAGGCAGCCACAAGCCGGTGGATACTTCTTCCCAAGCTGGCTAGCTTTTCTTGATAGGCTGCCTCTCAAAGCATGCATCAAAGCTTCCAAAGATGTTGTTTCCGACAATCGGACATGGGATGCGTGCCAACGCAAGGCATGTACTGAAAGCTTCAGGCGTGTTCGACATTACACTGGAAGCCTGGGTGGTACTTCTTGGCCGATGCATTGATTTACTTTCTCCGGCTGCAGCTAAAAAGTCAAAGATATTCCGTGTATGTTTCTTGGGTTGGGGAATACAGTTTGTGGCCTTGTTTTATGTTGCTGCTGTCAGCGCTGTGTTTCTGCTGCATACGTTGATGCATTGGACTGGAATTGTTTTGCAGAGGCAAGAGAATAGACAGGACGGTAGATCTTATTTGTAGCAGAACGCGGTCCCAGAGCGACAGTGGATTTCCAGCGGGAAAAAGACGACTTGCCCTTTGTTCGGCGGGTTGATCATGAACGTCATGAAGGGGTTCCCCATCCCCAAAAAAATGTGGAACCACTGCCTGACCAATTTTGTGCAGCTTGCACTCTCACGTTCCACGCTCAGGACGGTGCTGGCAGAAGTGCGCATGAAAAAGAAACGCCTGGAAGCGTAAAATTTTTGACGCGCGCACGTATGGCGCAGTCATTTTTCAGAACGGCCAAGCCGCAGGCGAGCAGCTAGACACTTGCCATTGGGTCAGTTCAACGCGACCAGAAAAGGTTCTTGACATTGGCCACTTGCGCTCACTGCGTCTTTGGTTGGCTGCTCATTTTGACGGTTGCAACGAAATGTTTGGCCGCTCGTCTTCTGGCGGCTCCCCAAAGGGGTTGCTGCCCTGTGTCGGGTCTGGGCAACTATGGTTCGCCGGGGTGCATATTTAGTCTAGAGCGCATGTTGCAGAATTGTTCTGACTGGCTGAACTTTGCTTATTGGGTTTTAAATGGTTAACCCCCTAGAACAGGTGGCTTCCCTTAGCTTCTTAAACCAACCCCAAAAGGGCGGTCAAAAGAAGACACCGGACTTGTGGCTGCAGAAGTCAAGCAAGCTGTCAACAGATTCGCAGACGGCAGTTGCCCGACCCAAGACCTTGCGTCGCCTTTATCGCACCAGCCTTGGAAGAGGTTCGGGCAGAAACTTCGAGGGATGCAAGAGACTGAACTCCTTGGATCATCCAAGCCAGGACTGGCGGGCAATGTAATCAGAGTCCATTTCCCCTTGGCTTTGTGGATGTCTGGCTCATGTGGTTTGTAAGAGTCCTGTCATCATCCAATAGTTGGGTGCCCACTTGCACTGCCGCACCTTGGAAGACACGATTGTTGAAGAGTTTGTTGCAGCGCAGGAAGTTTCTGCTGTGTTGGGATCTAGTGCGCGCGCGTGTCGAGTGTCGCGACGGGCGAGAGATGAAAATCGGCCAATGCCAGCCCTGAGTTGACTGCGCACAGGCGCTGAGTCAGCGAATCCACGGAAGTCTACGACACCAGCCACCTCTATACCCCGGAAAATTGGCACGACATGGTGTCGGGGTGTGGCTCATTTCCGTCAAAGTCTATGCTGATGGCAGAGTATGTACGATTGTGCTTGAGATCATTAATAAAAGCTCAGATCGCAAGGGAGAAGATAGTTTTAATATATTGATGATTGCCTTTCCGCAGCCATACGAACAAGATATGTGTGGTCCCTGGACCATGTCTCTCCACGGTACAGCTTGTTGGTGGCAGCATGTACTGTGGAGCTTTCTTGTTTACGGCGGTTGATTTATCCAACAGTTGTCTCAAATTCAGTCACACAGAGACTCGTGGCAGGCAAAACAACGTCGTGATTGGCTGCAACGACGGCAGCGTAGTGATGTATCAGGCGCTTCCGCTGTGCCTGACGGATCGCGCGACCTTTCATTTGCGGGGTGATTGCACAGCGGACATATCTACGCATACGTATTAAAATGCATCTGCGGAGCTCACTTCCAGTGAGAGGAATTTCCAAACCTCCGCCACATATATTGATAGCTAGGCCTTCTATCGTCAACGGCGGAGCTATTTGTTTAGAGCAAAGTCCATGAGTGGCGCAATGAGACTTGCAGACATGGCGCTGCACCCCAAAAATCAATCTGGGAGCTTTCCAGCCTGTGCTCCCCTTGGCTGACCAGATTACGTCGCGGACAGTCCGTGGCCGTCAGCCTGTTAAGCCAACTTTACATACCCTTCAAACCGTGTAGGGGGTGCCCGGCTATGCATACGTTTATTGATAGGTGCCCAGGCATTTCCAAGCACTTTCCGGTCTCGGAATTGGCTTCGAAGCGCAGTTAGGCTTTGCTGGACGTAGTGTTACCTTGGATTTGTTGGTTTGCTTTGCACCTTGGATGCTGAGTAAATTAGTCGAAACGTTCAATTTGCTCCGCAAATCAAACCTTTGCGCTGTGTCTCTTGCATATTGGCGAACTCTCACCTAGCCCCCAGGATGCATTGAAAGCCTGTCCGACAGAGTAGCTCTATAATGCTATTCCCTCCCCCTCCCCGCCTCCCGCACGGGCCGGCCTGTGGTGCCCCTCAATGGAATGTCCAAGAAACCTCCAGCCCCCAAATACGCGCTACAGTTCCCCACCCTAATCCGAAGCCCCTCACCCGCACCTTAGCAACACCCAGGACTCAAGACAATCCACTCCCCCCAAACCCTAAACCACCCCCAAACCCACCTAAACCAACCCTAAAGCCACCTGAAAAAAAACGTAAACCCCCACCCTAAGCTACTGCTAAGACCACCCAAACCAACCTATTAACTCATCTAAATCAGCCTTAAACCAACCCTGAACCAGCCTTAAATAAGCAACGCACCCAATCCAGCTCTATACCACACCCGAAACCCACCTAAGCCAACCTTCTAACCAGCCCTAAATCAACTCCAAAGCAGCCGCCGTAAACCACCTACTGTAGACCAGCCATTAACCAGCCCTACACAAGCCCCAAGCCAACGCTAACCCTGAGCCAACCCATTCTAAACCAATCCTACCTCACCCGAATCCAGCCAATGTTAACATGCTGCTTAGCCCTAAGCTGAATAAAACAAGACACAACATAACTAATACTATCAATCAGTAGTACCAACTCCTCCCCCCCCCCCCACAAACCCCTAACCACGGAGGGGGGGAGGGGTGTGTGCAGACCTAGATCATATTATATATATATATATATAATTGTATCTTGTAGATCTTCGTCGATGCATTCTTTGCATGGTGTCTTCCCATGTCGCTCTTTGCAGGTGGTCTTCTCGACTGTGCATGGCCTGTACCAGGCCGGTGTTCGGAATTCCCCAAAGCTCCCAAGCCTGAGCCGCAAACTGAAGTGCCGTTAGGTTTGTTTTAGAGGGAAACCGAAAGGACCACTCCAAAAGTTGAAGTTGGGCTCATCTCATTTTGACAGATCTTTACAACATATGTGAAGGTTATTGGGGCACAGCCTCCGAAAAATGGGTGCCCCACTTTCCTCCTTGCAAGAAACAGTTCGGCGAGAGGCAATGTGAGTCTTTTACTGGGCTTGGGTAGACTACGTAGCTTGATGCCAGGTTTTGAGTTTCATTCAGGTTGTATGTTTGGGATCACCGTTTTTCCGCTTGCTGGAAGCTCACAAAAGGAGGTCCTCATGTTGTGGCAAAGCCTCAGATCCGGGGCCCTGAAGCGGCCACGCTCAAAACGCCCCAAGGGCCCCGGCGATTGAAACCCATCAGCCTTGGCACCATCCTTCCCATGAAGGTCCCTAGTACTCCGCCCAGAACCATGGATGCAAGCTGTTTTCACATCTCGGCGGCGGTTGTCCAGGCGTTGTCCCAGCCTTTATTTCAACAGAGGTCGGGAGATTTGTACCACGATATTCCGGGATCTTTCTTGGATGCCACACACACACAGGCACGAGCAACTCGCGAGCCGACCATTTGCGACCTGTTTGTCTGTTTGTGTTGTTTGCTGGTTTGGCCCATGTTAGGCATGGCCCAATTTGCAGGGTTGCTTCCGATAAGCTGACCTTGGCCAGGAGCATTGCTTTCGCTTGATTCAATAGTCGTTTATTCGCTTAAAGGTGCGTTTGAGCGATTCCTAGATGCAGCCTTTCATGGAACTCACAAAGGCGTGGTTGCATTTTTTCGATGTACTGCTCTGACACGCTGAACGAGCGAAACGGCGCCACAGGATTGTGTGCAACACACATGCTCTTGGGGTCAATTCCATCGAATGTCGTCATACATTGTTGCGGCAAGACGAACATATGTTAATTGCTTTCAGTCAAGCCAAGAATTGCAATTGGCGCTTGGCCCCATCATCCTGACCAACCTGAAATATGTAATTATGTTGATGATCAAAAAGTGGAAATCATTTCGGTTGTGATGAGTATATTTGACTTTGCTGTACCCGCGTTGTTTTCGAGAAAACACATGTCCATAGTTGTGTCCACGCGGCCAATTGGTGAGACCTCGAGGCTGAGGGAGAGTGCTGCATTTGCGAGTGGAGCTAAGGAGCTAAGGAGCAAGTTCACTAAGCAAATGTTTGCCCACTGGTGCATACTCTCCTGGTCAAAGAAAATAATGCTCCAGATGGGGGGCCCATTCTGAATGTGCCAAGTGGTCTCGAATTCGCGTGTTTGCTTCGTGTCTATTCACTTCACGGCCGTTCACTTCTCGGCTGTCCAGTTTGCAGGCATAGATTATCAATATACAAAACCACTAGCATCGGATAGACGGGTGTTTTGGAAATCTGCACGTCCATCTCGAGCTGCTTGTATTTTTCAATGCAACAGGACTTAGTATAGGCCTGTTGGTGATTCCATGCGGAAGGCTTGCAAAAGGCCAATCATACCCGGAGGACCGCTACGCTTACCGCGACGTGATGACGGACGTCGGGGCCCTGCAGGGGCATTGGGTTGTTGTTTGGGCAATTGAAATTTTCCGAGGAGATGTAAGGAGTGAATGCAAGCCCATTGATCCCCGCACTTGAATTGATTTAGTTACTGACTTGCGCCGGTCAACAAAACTTAGGCCATGAAAGGCCAATAATTCGCTAGAATTGCTCGGATGCTGCGGTGCTGAGAGAGGATGGGCAAACAAATGGGAGATAACTTGGATAAGGGCCAAGCAAACAACTGAGCCTCAGCACGAGACCCATAAAGCTAAATAAGTTTATCCCAAAACACGTTTCGTTAGGAGAGGCGGGAATCCATGTTATTTTGTGCGATAAAGGCGTAGTTGATCGATGCATTTCAGTCGATTGGTTCTTCATATTTGCCTTTTGCGCGGCAGGGCCAGGTAAGTTTCCATTTAGTTTTAGTGCTGTGCGAGACAGAAGGCACTCTGCTCAATGAACTTGAGAGTCCCCATTGAGGTTGACATGCAAGGTCTTCTATGATTGCTTCTTAGGGTGCTGCATCTCACAAGACTCGATGACTCTTCTTGCTCGCGAATTTGATCCTTTGCCTTTCCACTGACAGTCGGAACATTGGTAGTAGTTGCAGTTCAGCAGATGCCTCTCTCACGTGCGTTTGCCTGTTGTTATGTGTGAATCATAGCCTGAGGCCTGCAATGACGCTTCTAAAATTGGTAGCTTCAGTTTATGCTCGACACTGAGTGTGTGGCTGAGTTTGGTCTTCCCAACACGTCCATGAGCGGCCAAATCTAAGATAACGCAGCATGCGGAATGAGACCGCACCGTTGG